GATGTGTCCATGAGCATAGTGATTTGTACAGTAACAGACCCGACCTGAAACCCCAGGGTGGAGATACCAGCAGTACCATCAAACTCAAATGTAACTCTCAAAGCTCGGGGCTGTAATGAAGGACCAGAAACTGGGGCACTGGCACCAGAGCCATTGTCCCACCAGATGCCCTCAAACACAGCACTGTTAAATGCCATTACGGTGGTCGGGACAGGGAACACCAAAAATAAATTGTAAAAGCATGAGTGAGATTTCTAACTTGAGGCTATGTTAGAACAAACAGAATAGCCGTATCTCCCTGGGCTTTAGTAAAGGCTAAAACTCCCTGAGCTTCCCCATTTACTAAAACCAAGAGAGGAAGCATTCAGAAGTAAATACTGAGGACTTGTACATCCTCAGCAGTTTTTGAAGTGGTTTCTGGAGGGCAGCTGGAGTCGCATTGCATGTCAGCTTGGTTACTCTCTGCAAAATAAGCAGTCACTTTCCAATGAGCTGCCCCTTCTCACATCCCATCACAGAAGTGATTCTAGCACTTGCATGTACCTGCAGATTTGACACTTTATTGCTGAGCTGAGTTTTTTGTGTCACTGGAAGCCCTGTGCCAGCAAGTGAGGTCATTCTCCACCTCCTCTGCTCCGAGGCATCGCGATCGCGCTGTTCTTTAGCCAGCCACAATCTTTAGTCACCTGAACCAGTTAAGATGCTCACAGCAGCTTACAAGCTAGAGAGACTTTCCAAGGTTTGATTTACAGGTGCATAGCATTTATAAATCTGATTTATTGTCTAATTCTAAAAAAAAGAAGACAAATCCCAAAAGATCTGATCCCAAAGCTGCGCCAACGTCAGCAGTTGCTGTGTTGCTCAGGCAGTATGGATTTTCCAGACATATCCTTTGTGTTTTAGGGGGAGGAATGGCTGCAGTGTGGTGAGTGCTCTTCACTTACACCTCATTAGCAATGTGCCTGCACACAACCAGAGTCCTGGGCTGAAGAGCACAGGACAACCACACAGGGAGCCAGGGAACAGTGGTGATGGGTGAGGGGAAATTTCTCTAGAGACACCACGATGCCATATTACTCTGCATCCCCCCATTCAAGAAAAGATAGGTCTGGGGCAGTGAAGCTAATGAAGCTTGGCCTCTGGCAAGCCAGTCTCTCTTCATTAGAGGCAAATGTGTGATGCCCTCAGTGGGGCCTCTCCTCCCTCTTGCCACCTAGTTTTATGGCACCTTCAGGAATGCAATTAGCGCAGAGATGTTTCCTTCTTTGTCAAACTGCCTGGCAGGCAGCCAAGGGGTTCAAAAGCCTCTGAGTTGTGCAGCCAGCTGCCCCTTCCCCAGCCCAGCTGCAGGCAGGAAGGTTTTCAAACCCTCTCCCACAGCCACCCACATTTCAGAGCAGAGAGGCCAGAGCGATGTGGTGAAGGTTTCAATGCAAAAAGGCAACTTCTCCATCCAGATTAAAACTGGGAACAAAGGATTCTTGGATTTGGGAAGCGACTGCCTGCTTCGTCAGAGCATGGTGCTGCAGACAACTAGTTGCACTTCTTTTGGAAGAACAAAGCACTTGTGCAAGATGTCCCCCACAGCCCTTCCAAAAGCCAGATTAATGATTTGAAACAGCTACTCTGGAGCTGTTAACTGGACTTGGGAAGCAGCAGAACAAATGCCACTTTTTAGTGACTAAATGGCATTGACTAAGAGCTGGATGCAACTTGAATCAACATTTACGACATGTTATAAATGACTCCTTTTCCCACCTGCCTCACAGATGCAGGAGCCACGTTAAACCTCCCACTAACAGGAATTAAATTCTTGTTTCTTCTCTAGATTATCTCCCACCCAAAATCTGCTCCTCCACTTCATGATGGGGGGCTACAAAAGGACAGGAGCCACAGGCAGCACTGTCTGCAGGCACCTCTCCTCTAAAATGCTGACAAAATGAGGTGCCAATATTTATAAATGGACCCATGGATGAAAACACTTTCACTGGCCAAAGGACCAAATACCAAGAGACAAGAAACAAGTTCATTTCAGACCATTTCAACCCTGCTCCACTGTGGCTTTTGCTGGGAGTAGAGGATGCTTGAGCATAATATGCCACCTATCCCTATGCCATGGCAGTGACTCGATGGGGACAGCTTTGCTACAGATCACAAAAGGAAGAAATGCCCAGGCTGGTTGGCAATGGGGCCTGAGCTGAGGCGAGCAAAAAACACAGCCACATATGTGCAAAGCAGTTTGCATGAGCGGATTTTTACCTCTCAGCTTGAAAAATGTGTTTTCCTCCTGGTCTTCCCCCTCCTCTTGGGTCAGGTTGGACTGGCTGCTTTCCTACTGGCTCCATCTGGGATAGGCACTCAGAGGTTCATGATATCATCTCATTCAACAACTTGGGCAGGTGTAAATGCATTTGATGGGGGACACCATAGCCCGTGTGCTAAACCTGAGGTTGGGTTCCATTGGGGTGAAAATGCTGTTCAAAATACAGTCATCAGTAAGGCACTGAGAGGCATTAAGTGCCTTCTATGCTACCAGAGGATTCATAGAGTATAAATAAAGCCCTTGACAACAATGATGAGTTCCCCTCATGGGTGGAAGCCAAGGAACTCCCTAGCAAGGACAGAGACAACAGTGATCTGCAGCAAAATGACAGCTCCCTACGTGCTGCTTTTTTGGTTTGTGCATTAGCTAAAACCCGTTGGTCTCCCCTTGCAGTGGGATTCAGCCTGTACTGGGTACTGGGATGCCAGAGCCTTTCAGGGACAGACATTGTGCCCAGTGAGGGCAGAGTGGCACTTCGCTCCCTGGAAGGAACTGGACACCCCATGCAACTGCCCTGGAAGTCATCCTGCCCCCAAGGCATCACCTAAACCCTTCTGGCTACCAAGTCTACACAGCTCAGTGCTGAGCTAAACACACAATCTTTTTCAAGAAGGCCTCATTTGTAGGAAGGAGAGAGTTTGCATCTGCTAGAACTGCCCAGGGATGTTTGTGTAGCAGAGGGCTGTTTGTCAGGGGCAGCTTTGGACACAGTTCCCCCCCCGCCCCAAGCTCAGACACTCTTGGTAGGCTGGTGAAATCCCAAGCCTCTTGGCCTGACAAAACCACCTCAAAATGTTATGTCACTGGCCCAGCGCTTGCTACAGCTCAGATTTAGCATCATAACTGCTGGAATAAAAAAAACCCCAAACAATGAAGCCAACAAACCAAGAGCAATAGAAATACCAGGAGGCATAGGGAGAACCAGCCCACGCAGCCATGCCAGACTCCATCCCATTCCTGGAGCAAAGAGGCTGCTTGGCCTCAGCCTACCCTTTTGTTTTCTTTCATAGCTATAAAAATAACTTTTAAATGACTTTTAAAAACTTTGGCAGATCCGAAAACAGCTATGCTGCTCTTCCCAGCACCAGACACCCTCCACAGGGACAGAATCAAGCAGGTGCAGCAGAAGAAACGCAATTTGCTTTCCTGTGGAGCGGCAGAGCTCTGGCTCTCCTGCTGAAAAGGAAATTTGAGCAGAGGGGTGTCCTTCTCTTGCAGCAACTGCTACACCAGTAACCTCCAACCTCTCTTTATAGCACTGCTGCCCTTAAATATACTCCTTTTGGATGAGATGATGCTATCAAAGCAATATGGTTCTTTGGAGAACCCCCAGGCAGTACTGCTCTTAATTACTTCACAGCGGAGTTTATTTTTTCCCTCATCTGCTTTCAAATACCTTTTTCCTGCTTGCTCACCCCTATTTCCGCTCCTGCATCAGCAGGGAGAGTCCCAGCCCTCCCAGTCTGGGCAGTCACTGTGGGAGGTGGTACTGGCCTTTCTCACTGCTCTGCAGCAGGGAGCTCCAGGGCAATTCCAAACCCCAGAGTATCACTCGCCTTATCTTCAGCAGTGACAAAACAGGTTACAGGAAAATCAGCACATTCTCTATAACAACACAATTGTCTCAAGCAGCCAGAAACTTGCAACCAAAGGGTGCCCCATCACTTACTGCCCAGCTCTGAAACGTGCAGGGTAAGATAAACAGCAGGGAAAAACCCTGCCAATTCCCTGGAGAAAATGTGAAAAATAGCTATTTTTTTCCAAGCTTACACTTGTTTCAGAAATTCTGTCCAGGATTTTCAGCTAAGGAAATATTTTACTTGCTTGAAAGCAGGCAAAGTTTAAAAAACCCTTTGCCCAGATCGAACTGGGGGAATTATGTCTGGGGGCTAATCCAGGCAATTACATTCAAGGTAAATTATGTGACCTTGGACTGATGAGGTTTTAAAACCATTTTAGCAAACACAGCTAAATAACTCCTCTGCCTTTGTTTAAGCAAAGCTGACTGGCTACATCTTTCCCAATGAATGACTTGTTTTCCTAGTGGGAAGAAAAATCTATACATAAAATACCTTTAGGAATCTTTAACACAGCTTTTCTTTAATAAGTAACAGCCTGAAACACAACCTTTCTTTTCACTTGCGATGCACCAGGGGATTACTCCAAATGCTTCATCTTTAAAAAAAGATTGTTTCTGCCTAGGCAGGGAAGGATGGCTCACACAGGAAAAAATCCAGCCTATGAAAACACCAAAAAGCTTCAGAGGATTCTGAAGCCTGTGCTAGTTTACTCTTTCCTAAGGATATATGTTAGTGTGCAAGAGATTTGCATAGTTACATCAAAATAACACCAAAGCCAAGACTCTGCTCATCTCCGTGGGACCCAGGCAGCAGACAAGCCTGCAGGGAGCCTTTCATTCTGACACCTGCAAACCCAATTCTGATGGGGATAATGCAATTTTTGTTCTTTACTTTGGATGCACTTAAACCTCTCCCTCCTTTTTCCCATAAGGAAAACTAAGAGAGCACAGATTTCTCCAGAAACAGGGCAGATTTGGGCAGGTGGGGCAGGCGCAGCCCCTCACACACCGCACAGCCCAGCCCAGCAGCCTTCCCCACTTCAGGGTGGTTTCCCCACTGCCACGATGTGGAGGGCACGAGGGAGGAAAGGCTCCTACCTGAGCAGAGGACTCCCTTGTACCTGGCGCAGGAGAAGTCGTCGCACTCGCAGAAGGGCCCGTAGATGTTTCCGAACTCGCTCTCGTAGCACAGGCACTGGTTGCAGCTGCACTCCCCTCTCCCGCTGCACAGGGGTTTGCCCTCCGCCTCCCGGCACATGGCATGGTGCATGTCCCCGCTGGCCCCCTCCTCGCACTCGCACCTGGCCCCCAGGTAGCCAGGGTCGCACTCGCACAGCCCACACGCGTAGGTCCCGTTGCCGCTGCACTTGCCGCTGGCGGGCGCGGCGTGGCCGGTGCAGCCACAGCGGCAGTTGTAGGTCACGGCCACCTCCAGCATGTCCCGAAAGCCAGCGGGCTTGATGGTGAAGGTGTGCGAGGTGTCCTCGGCAGGGCAGCTCCGCGCCTCCACGGCCACCTCGAAGGAAACCTGGAGGGCAGGTTGAGATGTAGGTTAAGGGGCACGGCCCCAAAGCAGCTGTCAAGGGTGTCCCAGGAAGGAAACAGCAGATGTCCTGAGGAAAATCCATGGAGCAATTCCATGGAGCGGGGCCAACTCAGCGCATTGAGCTTCATTCCCAGGTGTGCAAAAAGCCCCCTAACAATTGCACATCCAGCAAGAGCACCTGCAGCTCAATGCACCAGCATCTGCCATGAGGGGTTGGACAACCTCAGCGTTTTAAAACTCTTTACTGTCAGCCATTTACAGCAATTTTCCCCATCAGGAACCCTTGCTTTCTGTGAGATGGGAAGGAACCCACCTATTTCCAAAAAGAAACAGGGCAAAACTCTAGCAAATAGCCCAGTTTCCACGCTGTTAAAAATAATAAACTCTGTCAGAACAAACACTATCAAATATCTAACCAGCACAGCACAAGGGCCTACAAGATCATGGATTCAGAAGGTTTTATGGGACTCCTGATTTGCACATGGAGATGTGCACCAGCCACAAAATCCCAAGCTTTCAGCATGCCATTTTTTTTCAACAGGCCATTTTTAATGGATGCTTCTATCAAGACTGACTTCAGAAGAGTTACACATCATTATATGGTTATACATCAACCCCCTACTCGTTTTATGTGGCTACAATCCAGTGTCAGGGATTTTCTCCTGAAGAAAACCAAGGCCATATAATGGCTGCTCGTTTGGTCCCTGATTTAATCCTGTTGTTTCATGGGGCCAGCCAGCACTGCCCAGAGCTGCCTCGTAGCAAAGAGGATTAACCTTATTCCAAGGAAATGAGACCCTTTCCTTGGGTCTCATAATTCAGGAGGGAATTATTTCTCTCTGGAGATATTTGGGGGTCACCTCAAGTCCTCACTGTCTGCACTGTCCCACATATCAAGGGGTGATGTACAAAGGATGGCAGAGCAGCCACCTCCAGGGAGGTGGGAGAGCTGCACCCCCAGGAAACCTCCCTTGACATCCCCCCCTTCCCAAGGCCTGAAGCAATTAGGATAGGAGCTCAAATTACAGAGGAGAAGGAGATCAGAAAGCAAGCTAAAGGGATCAGGGTAATCCTGCTCCCTTTCACCCACTGACACCCACAGCCCCAAGACTAAACCCCAGCAGATTAGGGTCCAGTGCCAGCATTATCCTCTTTGGGGAAACTTTCTTAGCAGGAGTCAAATCTTGATCCACGTGGAAGCACTGGGGCAGAAAGCAGCTGAACAATATGGGAAGGAGGGACACGACCCCCACAATCCTGTGGCACATCTCCCTGTGCAAGCACCTCTATACTCAGGGTGCACCTAAAACAGGAGTGGTACCAGTGCCAGCTCCCTGCTGCGCTCACTGCCAGACCTCTCCATAGCACAAATTGCAGTGGCTGGAGCAATGCCCCTGCTCCTGCCAAAACCAGGAGCTCGGGATTACCTTTGCTTCCTTGGGGGCTCAGGCTTTGCCATGGGAACAAAGAGCTACAGGGATCACTTTTACCCACCCATCCAAGATACAGTAAAGTCAGCTGAAAAAGCAGGGCTACCTCCCTTTTTAACACTTCACATGATCCTTATTTGGCGGGGCAGAACTTCTGCTACTGTTGACTCTTTCAAACTATTTTTATATGCCTCAGCACTGAGAGCTCTGGTATGTTTGCAGAGTCACTCTTCTCAAATAAGGCAATCAGGCTGCTAACAAACCCACACCCATGGCCTCAGACAGCAAAAGTCTGGAGAAAGGGAGGAGGTTCCCCACTGGTCTGAGCCCTCCTGCCCTAGCCCTGCAGCCCAGCAACCTGTTTATCTGCTTCAATACTCAATTTAAACATGCAAAGCTTAGCTTTTTTGCTTTTTAAAAAGCACAGGATGGATTATGCCATGTATACTGTTAACATTAAGGAGGAAATGATAATTTTAGTCTGTGCTGCCATCCAACACCCTAGGAACTGAACACACGAGAGGAGGGTTGCTGCCTTTCTGAACACCCTCTGACTTTTCTTGCAGTACCTCCAAAGTTAGCCATGATCCCTTCACTCACTGACACAGGAAAGACAGGTTTAGATTAGAACCACAGAAGCATGGAATCATTTAGGTTGGAAAGACCCTTAAGATCACTGAGTCCAATCACTAATCAAGCACTGCTGAGCCCACCACTAACCATGTCCCTAAGCGCCACATCTACACATCTTTTAAACACCTCCAGGGATGGTGCCTCCACAACTTCCCTGGGCAGCCTGTTCCAATGCTTGACAATCCCTTTGATGAAGAAATTTTTCCCAATATCCAATTTAAATTTCCACGGTGTAATTTGAGGCCATTTCCTCTTGTCCTGTCACTTTTACCTGGAAGAAGAGACTGCCACTCACCTCACTAGACCCTTCTTTCTGGTAGAAAGCAATAAGGGTCCCCAAGCCTCCTTTTTTCCAGACTAAACACACCCAGCTCCCTCAGCCCTTCCTTATCAGACCTGTGTTCCAGCCCCTTCACCAGCTTTGCTGCCCTTCTCTGGACACACTCCAGCTCCTCAGAGTCTTTCTTGAAGGGAGGGGCCCAAAACCAAACACAGGATTTGAGGTAACTCACCAGTACCAAGCACAGAGGGTAGATCACTGCCCTCATCCTGCTGGCAGTGCTATTTCTGATACAAGGCAGGATTCTCAAACAATAACAATGAAACCTGAAATATTTAATGGACTGGGAAAAGATCAGCAGACCATGGAAATAAAAATTTCACAGCTGAGAGTGTGATGTGAATATCTGGGATTACAGGAAAAAAAACCTGTTCTTGACTACTGTGTTCTCCTGCCTGTTTAAGACCTTTACCTCAGTGCTGTAGACAAGACACCTGTATTCCCTCTTTCCTCACAGCTGACCTTAGGCTGATCTACACCACCCAGAACTACTTCTAGAAGAAACACACTCTCTGGGTTTTTTATATCATCGTGGAACAGCACGAGAAGAGCAGAGGAAAATGAGCAAAACTATATTTTATTGCCCAGGACCACTCATCGAGAGAGTGAAGTAGGTGAAACAACCTCTCCAGGGAACAGACTAAAAGGCAGACTCACCGTATCTCCAATTTTGAGATCCCCACACTTCCTGAGCCCAGGATAGGACAACCCATCCTGGCAGGTGGCAGTGAAGGTCAAGCCAATGTCCTCAGGGCTGTCCCAGACCGTGAGCTCCACCTTGGACCGAATACTCTAGAAACACAACAGGAAAGCAAACCATCAGGCTCCCAAAGACAGGTGGGTTTCTTCTGCTTTAATCTCTTCTCCTGATGTTTCCAGATGGTGGCTAGGACATCTCTGCACCTATATGAAAAAAAATCACCCCTGCAAACACATTGACATTTGAGTTTGACTTAACCAGCCCAAAAGGCTTCTGATGAACACAACTAGAGTCATGGGGGGCTGCCTGCACACTAGGATAAGTGTGATAACCATAGCAGCCAGTACTGAAAATATATGGATGCACAAGAGGAAAAAAAGAAGAAAACATTCTCAACCCCAGATGGAGCATCTCTGAGGTGAAGGTCAGAGCTTTGTGTGCACATCTGCACCTCCTCCTCCCCATAAACCAGCCCCTTAGTGAAGTGCAAAGCCTGATTCTCCACCAGCAGTTGTCCTACAATGTCTGTTGTACAGCACAGAAAAGGTGTAAAACTGCATTAACTCTGTCCTGCTTTCTTCTTTTCACCCAGTTGGTCAGAAAAATACATTTTCTCTCCTAGGAGAATGTGCCAAACAAAAAGCATCCCTTCATAAGTATCAGCCAGAAACAATGCCATGGGAAAAAATAAATGAACAATCTCTTTCTTTGCAAAACTTTTTGAAGTGAAAAGCGTTTTCCATCAGTGAGGTTTTGGTATGCTCTTACTCCCTTTCTTCTGCTTCTCATCTCTCCGCCCTCCTGCATGCACAGACTTTTTAAGTCACAACAAAATGAAGTTTATAAGTATTAATTTGGAATGACGTTGTTTTGTTTAATTCTTCCAATGGCTGGAACTGATTTTTATACAAGTGGTGTCCAAAGACGACAGTTTTTCAAAATGGAGCTTTTTGTACAAATATTCTTATTTTCCAAAGCCAGCTTCCAGCTCCATCTGTCTCCCCCTTGTCTACAACCCTCACCAATGAGGTCAGATTAAGGAAAAGTGCTAATTCAGACCTCTTGCCAGTACATGTGATGACAAACCAGGGTTCACAGGCCAGCAAAGAGCCAACACTTTTGGAAATGGACAGGAAATAAATGAGTTTTGGCTGAGCGAATCTAAATAGTCCTTCAGGAAAGAAAGGAAAAATTTCCCATCTCTCTGCTATAACAGAGAAGCTGTTCATGGGGTGGCAATTGGGACCATCCATCACCTCTGGGCTCAATGTTGCATGTGCCAATAAATCTCAGGATATTGCTCTGCCCCAAATTATCCTGTAGAAATCAGCTGCCACACTGATATGCTCTCCTGTCTTCTTTCCCAGAGCATCTTGTCTGGGGCATGGCAGAAAACAGGACACCATGCCAGACCTCAGTATGACCTTGCATGGGCTCTTCCTATGTTCATACACAAATGCCAAGTTTTCTTATTACCCTCTATGGTCATTCTGTTAACCTAATTGTGATGCCATTATTATTAGCCCCTTTGCACTGTTACACAACGATGTCTTCTGACAGCCCCACAGCCACCACGGAGGGCAACCGATAGTTGCAACATGAAACACATCCAAGACCTGCCTGGATTTAGTTTAGGAAAGTGCTTTTTAAACCAGTGTCCCATTTTCTCTCTTTGGTCCAAACTCAGTTCTGTGTCTGGGCACAGCCCCACATGAGCCATTCCATCTCTCAGGTATGTTGAGATTTGGGGGAAGGATTTGTTCTTAGTTTTTTTTTTAGTTTTTTCTTTTTCTTTCCTGCCCTCTTAGTGAGGGCAGGAAGAAAGTAGTCCCTGTTCTCTTCTGCTTCACACCTTGCAGGATGAGGGAGAGAAGGCAGCATGCTAGGCAGAAGAAAAGAGAGCTGGAACATGAAGGGATGGGGGGAAAAGGACCTTGAGGGTAATGTAAGACCCACGCAAGTCCAATGTATGCATCAGTGGAGGGAAGCAGGGGAGAGAGGACCAGAGATGTCCAAAGCACTGAAGGGAAGAGGCTGAGCTCAGGCCCAGAGCACCAGCCACTGGCACCCTGCAAGAGAAGATGGTCCCTGTCACAGATGAAGGATTTCTCCAGGCTCACTTTCCTTTCCATAAGAAATAAAAAAAGGTTTACTCCCACTTAGAAAACAGAATTTTAACCTTCTCCCTCAGTGAGAACTTCCTCCATCATTTCAGGACAAAAACAAAGCTACCAAGAGGAGATGGTTGGGCAGGTGCCAGGTTTCCGGCAGCCCCAGGCTGCCTGTGGTGCAGGCAGGAGCTGCCAGCTCCTGGCAGCACATCCAGGGGTCCCGGCCCACACCCACCACCCAGCTGAACAGGCAAGAAACCAGCCCATGTCTCAGCAGCCACTCATCCCACAGAGGTCATTCCATGGGGCACACCTTGGTCTAAGCACCCCAGTGGTTTCCAGCCGGCTGCACCGCAAAGCTCACAAGCAAAGAGACGGAGGGGAGCAGATGTGGGGGTGGCAGATTCCCAACAGTTTTCATTAGCTTATATCTAATCTGCAAAGGCTTGAGGGGTGCTGAAATGGAGGCACAGATGCATATTTCATCCATGAAACTGAGGCAAAGGGATGTTTTCATGTGACGGTGCTGAGATCACAAGCAAAGTCAACGTGGAGTGAATGTTCATTTCCTTCTCCCCAGACAAGCTTCTTATTTGCAAGACTCTCCGTCCTCAAGGGGACAAACTGGGACAACTGGGCTTTTGTTTTGCAGTATCTCCAGGGCCTCATTAGCAGCATTAGCTGCTCATTGCCTTTCCTCAGAGGGTGAAGCTTTGGGAAGCACTCTTCCTAAGGGCATAACCAAATGCTGTTTTAACTGCAGAGAGCTGGGGGCGAAGGAAAGATGACTTTTACAGCATAACACAATCCTACATGGCCTCTGGATGTGCGAACTCCTCCAAAGATGTTCTTCCTCGCTCCGTTGCACTAATGAGCACAGTACTAAGAAGAAGAAAGCTGTGTCCATGGGTCCCACTCATGAATAACTCTACCTGAGGGCTGACCCGTTGTGGGGTCAGATCAGCATGCCCAGCACCTAAACAGCAATATCTTTCCAGGATCATGAAGAGCTGACTCATAAAGATTCAGGGAGAAGACCAACTTGTGATGCACAGAGAGCAACACAAGGATGTGACCTTAGCTGGAGCTGGTCTCATCCTTGGGAGGCCTCTGAACATCAGATAACAAAAATATAATCTATTTTACCTACTGGTGGGGTGCTCTGAAAGAGAGCTTTTTCAGATGGAGGCTGTATTTTGAGGGTAATTCTGCACATGAGAGATGTGGGGTGAAATTTCTGCTGTGCTGCAGGCTCTCTTGGGCATCCCCATGCTCCTTCTCCTCCTCACACACCTTGCTTCCCTCCCCAGGGCGGACATCCCAGCCCCAGCAGCCTGCAGAGGACCAGGGAGGGAGGCGGCCAAGCTGGGTGGAGCCTGCCAGGGAGGGGGGAACCGAGCTGGCTGAGCTCCTGGCACTTTTCACTTCAGCAGCTGTGGTATTAAAATGCACTTACGTTGTAGGCTTTGACGATCAGCTCAATGATATTCTTGGAATCTTTGTGCAAAATCTCCACTGTTGTCCCAGGAATCAAGGCAGTAAAGTTCTTATGAAAAAAAAAAAGGAAAGCAGAGGGTGAGGAGGGACCGACCCCATGCCAGGGACACTGGCCACACACGCTGCCCCATCAACAGCGGTGTGCATGGAATGGTTTGGCTCCCATTAACGTGGAACTTTCAAAAGTAAAGCATCTTTAACGAGGCATGTCAAATATTAAATAAAGCTCACGGTCACAGGACAGGGACAAACAGACCTGGGTTTGCTGCCGGAGCCGCTATGCACTGGGCTGGCCCAGGCGGGAGGGAGGTGCAGCTGCCCCAACTTCCCTCACAACTCTGAGCATCCCCGGGAGAGGGGGTGGAGAATGAGCTCAGCCCTCATGCTCTCCATGGGCGAGCAGCAGCATCTCGACCATAGCAACACGGCTGCTTGTTGTTTCTGCTTGAGTCTCGAGAGCCTCAGCAGAGGTTTCCAAAAGCGACCCCGCCTGAAACACCATCCCTGCACCTGCAGAGCAGCAAAACCCTGCAGGGCAGCTCCAGACACAGGCCAGTCCTTGTGCCTAGGGCCACCTTTTCTTTTGTGAGGCTAGAGCAGCAATGGCAAGAGAGTTCTAATTGTGTGTGGCATGTCAGGGCCCTGGACTCCGTGATGGAAAAACACAGCTGGGCAGAAACACTGTGCATGATTAGGTAATGGGATTAAGTCACTGCAGAATGGGCTGAGCAGGTTTCTGCTCTCTGGCATTCTGCGTGCTGGCAGCCGTCCAAACATCAAGATTAAGATGGAGTCTATTTTAGGTCTTCACATGCTCACTAACACATATATATCTGTTTGCTCTAAGAAGCTTTAGTGCTTTTTGCTAAAAGGACTTAGCAGGGCGGGACAGCGTCTGAGCCTTGCCTGCCTGCAGCAGGCAGCATGTGGCCATGGGCATGCACACCTATCACTGCACACACATGTGTTTGCCACTGCACACTCGCCTGATTGCAGTTGCCTCCACTCCCCAGGGCATTTCATTCCATTCCTCAAGAGGCATTTCAATCTCCCCCCAGCCCAGGCAGTTTAGCAGTGCTTACCTTGTAGAGGACATAATGACTTTTTGTAACAGCAAAAATCAGGTGGATGTTGTTTTCAGCGAGTTTCTCCCCAAGAAGCGCCAGGGAAGGATAATCCTAGGGGCAAAAAAGGGCAGAAAAACTTATGGGTAGCACAGAAATAAAGATTAATCTCATTGTTCTTCTCCCAACAGCAAAATTTGTTCCAGACACATGCCATGTTTCACTGTGGGATGAAGTCCCTGATGTACCAGCATAATCCCAACTGAAACAGTAGAAATCCCTTAAATATTTCTGCTGCACCCTTCACTAGAATACATGACTGAAAACACCATTAGCTACAGCAAAACACAAACCACTGAATTTCTTTCTTTTGTTCCTTCTTTCTTTCCACTTTGCCATCAGCAGACACATGTGTGTACTAACTAGCTGCTACCTCCAGGGATGAGAGGCAGGGAGATCTAGAACTGCAGCAAGTGGATTTTTTTCTCCCAAAGTGGAAACATCCATTGCCTGATTTTTCTGCATACTGGGACCATAAAGAGATTACAATACTCTTTAAATCTGCAGATATCCCAAGCAGAGAGGACGGCAGGGAGATACTGCTCTAGGTATCCACAAGCAACAAAATAACAAACCAGGGCTCAATTTCAAGACACCAGCTTGAGTTTAGAACTCCCGCCTGCTTCTGAAGTGCTGTCCTTGGAAAAAAATCCACCTGATTTACTTGCAGACTAACGGGGTGATTTGAGAGCCTCGGAGATTCAAACATGGAAACACCAAGGAAGCATCCCCATGCCGGCTCCACAGCATTAACTTCACATCAGTACAGGACTGTGCTCCCTTATGCATATATACACTTACCAGGATTGCATGGATGGATGGAAAGGAGTTCCACCACAGAGCCCAGCTTGTGGCCATAACACAAGCCACCCAGATTCACCTCCCCTTATGGGGTGACATCCATTCAGGAATCATAATTAGTGCACTATTCTGTAGAAGGATGTGCTAATGAGGTGGCAGGCAAGTGCTCATTCATTCCAGAGGTTTCCTACACTGAGTTAAATTTTAAAAAGGGCTTATTTGCCTATTTATTACTAAAACCTATGTTAGTTTTGTGCTCAAAGGCTGTGAATAAGAGAAGCATTCTGTTGTACTCGCTATTGTAGCCACATCACAGTAGATACAGCCCCCTCAGGAAAAAGCTGGCAGTCCACTGGAGATTTTAGAAAAGGGACAACATATTCTATGCTTCCTCTACACTTTGCAGACAAAATACAATGCTCTTCGGGACACCAAGTTAGTTTTCACTCTCTTGCAATGGGCCCTGAAAGAACTCGCTACACTCCTAACTTGTTTTTGATCATCACAGAAGCATTCACTGTGGGGGGATGCCTAAAGGGAACAGCAAACTTTATTTGCAAATTGCAGGACCAGGTCAAACCATGCTGGTCATGCGCTGTATTTGCCAAAAGATGCTGGAGTGGGGGGCTGGCTGGTCTCCAGAGAGGTTCGAGGTCTCTAAGGGCTGGGCCCCTGTGTCCCACTCACCAGCTGGCTGGACGCACTGTACTCGTTGGCTTCATTCAGGTGGCACTGGCCATCATGGGGCTGCACCAGCCCCCCCAGCTTCCCATCCAGGGCTATGTGTGGCACATCATCCGTTGTGAAGACCAGCAGGTGAGATGCCTCCTTACGCCAGCCGATCTTCTCCTGGAAGAAAACAAACCCTGTGAGACAGCTGCCCTGCCCCTGCCAAGCCCACGCTTCACCCCTCACCCTGCACATGGTCCCAGCCACGTGCCTGGCCAGCAGCAGACTCATTAGCACTAATTAGGAGAGTACCATGCTCCTGTCCACCCATCCCTGGTAAGAAAACAAAGTGTCAGGAGCCCATCCAGCATTTCCCAGCATCTCCTTCCAACACACTTACTTTAAAAGGCATGAGGAGGTATGTGGACTGTCCACCAGACCTTCTCTACCCAGATCCAAGAATAAGAATTTCAGCTGCTTTTACGGCCAAAGGAAAGCTGCCAACTTCCTCCACACACATTTAATCTGACCTTGTTTCCTCAGCTCTGTGGAACAGCCAAGGCAACAGCAAGAGCAAGAGCAATATCCCTGCTCAGCATTTTCATTACCGCCTGCTCATAAAGGCTGTTTCTGAGCTGTGACAGACAAAGTGAGGTCCCTGACCAAGGGATCTGGCTTTGGTGCACCTGCATTCATGCACAGGCACTGTGCCCCGCTCCCCTTCTGCACACATCTCCTGGAAGCTGAGGTGCCTCCAAGCCTCTGCCATTTCATTGTGCACCTCTACACATGCTCCAAATGGCTTCATCCCCCCTGCACCACAGCCCAGAAGAGCAGGGACGCACACAGCCAGAGCAGAGCGGGGCAGGGACCTTTAGCATTGGTGCTGGCACTGATCCACATACAGCTGCCCTGCACAGCTTGGCCGTGAGCAACTTCTGCCTATTTAAAAACATGGTAATGCCAAGACATGCTCTAGTGGTCCCTACGAAAGCACTGAAGTGTCAAGCACAGCACAAGAATTGTCCTTCAAACCCTCCTTAGTCACTCTGTGCGAGGACCAGACATCACTGTCTTCACATGGAGAGAGATGCAGGGATTTTTTCCAAGTAAAGAGATAAGATTTAGATTCTAAACATTTCCTTCCTATTGAGCTTCCCCAGGTTTCCAATTTTGCCTCAGCTCAAGAAGCAGATCTGTGCCTACAACAGCACACTAAAGCACTTAGTTGCAATGGAAGTGGAAGGAAACAGAGGTGCCCAAAGAAAATTTTTGGAAACCACAGCACTGCAGCAAACTCTTTTGTACTCACTGGATGCTCCTGTTCATTGTCAGCTCATTGCCCAGCAGGGTGGGCTGGGGTCTTGCTGCCAACCAGGGCAGCGAGATCCTGCCATGGCACATACTGGAGCCAGAAAGGCCCATCACCTGGAGGTTCCCCTTATCCTGGCCACCCTGCCCATCTGCCAGCAAAGACACAGTTCCACACACTTCCAGCATCTCTGTCCCTCCAGATCCTGGCTCAGAGCAACACCACACAAATGCTTTGGGAAGGGATGAGGAAAAAGGTAGTAAAAGCCTACTGATGGGAACATGGTGCAGATGAAGATGCCCAGCTCCTCCAGAGCTTACTGCTCAGCTTATTTAGCAAAACCTGCGCTCTGCCCTGTTTACCAGCACATGAGCTGCCACAGCCCCACAGTAAAGGCACTTCCTTATGGAAAGCAGGCGTGGGCAGGGCAGGAGGGTAGAGCAGGCATAAGGGTGCAGAATCATGTCTGCTAGCACAATTTTCGCCTCTAAATGTGAGTCATAGCCCAAAGGCTGCTGATCTTTCTGATAAATATAACTCTTCCTTCAGGGACACTATGCCAAAGTAGACTCCTTTTTCCTCCCTATTTCAAAAGGTATTTTTTCTTCATGGTATTTTAAAGACCCACGCGATGCAAATAAGGCCATAGGAAGAAATCGTTGGCAACACACTTCCTTTGCCGTGCACCAGCACATTACAGTCCAGCTCAGTATGCAATGAGGACTTATTTGCTCTGGGAAGCAGGATTTATTCCACTGAAGTTACCCAACTGGACAAAAGACTAAAACATCATGCCAAAATGTAACCTCTTAAGAACTCAGCCCAAAAGTGATTAAAGCTCTAACAGTGCAAGAGGCAGATTTCAGTCTACTCAGCCACCAGACAGAAGCCCATCCAGTTCACTTTTCTTTGAGTATCGAAAGCTGATTTCTTTTTAAATGATTGAGGCCAAGAAACTTCCAAAGAGATTAGAAGGGTTAATCTGAGTTTCATTTCCTTAGAAATGTGCTACACACAAAGAAAAGGAGCTGCATTTAAGCAGCAGCTAAAAAAGCCACTTCAGGGGTGATGCTGCTGGTCACCTGCCTGCTAAGCCCACCTTTAAATCATGGATTAAGCACCCCTTTGCAGACAAACTTTCCATGCCTCTGACAGAATTTCCTACATAAACAACATCAAAACTGCTGTGACTGCTCAGTTCAGGAACTCACTTCCAAAAACCAACGAGCACCCAGCATCCAGGCACTGAAAGGATTTGATGCCTCGGAGCATCAGACCAGTGTGTTTTGGATGGGGCTGGCCAAGCTGGTGCTGATGCCACACCGAAAGAGCTGTAGGTCTATGAAAAACGCCCCCAGGGAGGCTGGCATGCCGAGGAGCCACTGCATCTCGCAATGCCTCTGCCAGCGGCTTCCAGGCACTGGAAAAAACAGCTCTTTAGCATGCAATTTCCACTGAGAAACCCAGAGCAGCACTCTGCTCCACTTAAAACAAATAACCAAGGAGTCTTTCGTTTATTTTTATTGGACTGGGATTGTTGAACAAAAAAACCTGCACTGATGCCTGCCCCCTCATCTGGTTTTTGATCCTCATGGGATATAAAGGATTTTGAAAGCAGGGGTGGGACTGGACCCAAAGCAGAGTAAGGTGGGAAGACGTGTTTCCACAGGGCTGGGCGTGCTACGGGTCCTGCCCCTACTACTACAACCAGCTGCAGTTGTCTCCCATACCCCAAACAGCTTCTCACTCCATACAGCCAACAGTGACAGGCAAAACTGCCACAGCTGCCTCAGCACAGCACAGCCCTCCAGATACTATTGAAAAGGCTGCAAAACCCATGAACAGTATTTCCATGCATGAAAAAATATCTAAATTTATACTTTGGGCACTGAATAAAATCTGTTCAATTGCCAAGATATCAACTGCCAGAAAAGCCCTCTGGATTCATCAATATGTCTAAAACCTCACCAGTTTCTCAGGTGCAGACCTTTTTGGAAGCAAGAAACAGATACAGGTGCAAAACAAGTATGCCTTAGGGGTTAAAAGCCAAAACCTCCTTTCTTTGGTGTTGCTCTGAAAGACACCTCAGTGTCTCCCACATGTCTTCGCTATCGCCATATACCAGTGTCGACCAACTACTAATCAAAACTGTTTCAAAAGACACTTTATTTTTCAACCAAACATTATCTCCTTACTGCATCTTAGCATATAAGATCTGAAACTTACACATACTACCAAGCCATGTGAACCTTGCACTTGGAAAATGGCAGAAAACCAAAATACTGCAAATGGAAAATGTAATTATGGAAGGTTGATTAATATTCCTGGCTTACTATTTTAGCATCAGAATAAAGGCTTATTGTCTATGGCTCTTTCACTGACTCCAAAATAACATTTACCATATCTTCATCTGTCAGAAAAGAGCCAAATCCTGGGCCTGCTCGTTAGTCTGTATTAGCTGTACAAACTTTCCCCACTCTTTGGGTTGAAAACCAGGCCAAAAAATTACTCGAGTGCTACAGAGCTCTTAGATAGCTCAGGCAGCAGAAATGTTTGATATAAATTACCGTATAAAAACACCTAGTCAACAAGAGTAGGTATTGTTTTTGACACCTCAGAAGGGGAGGAGAAGACCACACTCAGACACCATGCTTGGAGACAGTGAGGCTCTGCTATGCCATGGTTAGCTCTCCCTGGGACATCCCCCTTGATGCCACAAACTTTTCTGCTGAGCACAAAGTAATTCATGGTCAACACACTGCATCACCCAAAGGCAGGGGACTTTCTAAGGTCATAACTACCCTGGAAAAAGCCAGTGAGATGCAATGGGGTCCCAAACCCACCCCAGAAAGTCACCAAGGTACTTGTACGCTGCTCTCCTTGCATGGTGGGGAAAATAGTTCCTGAGCTAACAGAAACTAGTGACTGTGCAGGGTTTCAACCCCATGTTACTCCATTAATCACTGTGGATGCAAAACACCATGCAAAGAGCATCCACATCACAAGCAGCACTTCACTGCCACCCCAAATGTCCACCACCTTTGCCCTTCTCAACAGTCCTGAGCCTCACCACAACCCCTGGCCACTGACCAGCCTGGGCCATCACTTGACCGCTGTGAAGGAAATTAGGCACTAAGTTCCCCTTTTGACTGTGGGGCCAAACATCCTAGTGTCAAATCAGCTGGCTTGAAATTTTGGCTTTTTTAACTCTGGACAGAGTCTTTGCTGCTTATGGCTGGGATCAGAGGCAGCTGCTCCACCCACAGCAAGAGGCTGCCAAGGCAGCACGAGTCACGGCACAACTGGTTCTCCTGCCTCGCACACCAGTCCCATGGTCTTTCTCTCCCACACCCAAGCTTCAGTAATTGCAGCAGTAACTGCTGTGGCTGCAGAAACTCCTCCATCATGACCTGCCAGATCACGCCAAGATCACACATTGCACATGCTCACCTTTGCTCACCCTTCCTAGAGGATGCTCAGCCCTGAATTTAGATGGTGCCAGAATCTAAATTTGCATTCTGAATTTAGAAGGGACGAGGCTGTGCACTCAACAACAGTCAAAGATTTTGATCCTTACCAACAGTCTGAGATGGGCACAAATGTGCAGGAATTATCTTGCAGGTCTCCTGCCTTCCACCAATACCTCCAAAATGAGCCCTTGTGATGCACACTGAAATATTACTACGCCGTAGGGAAATGTTGTCCTGTTTTTGCAGTAACATGGTGGAAGGGACTGCAAAAAACTACGTGTTGGGTGGCACAACTAAGTCACCATCCTGAGATGTCCCTATTCTAACCATGAGAGCCACCTCTCCAAAACTGAGAAGCACTTTATACCCAGACAAGTATTGGGAGCAGCTCTGTAGTTGTGCCAAGAAAAATACCTGTGTCAGGCTAGGAGAGGCAAGATGACTGTTGGCTGGCATAAGATCCAGTGGGGCAGGTTCACTCCTGCCGAGACTATGAAGTGTACATGAAGCCAACCCAGGTGGAGAAAGATCTGCTTTCCCACATGCCTGCATCCCATCACTCCCACAGACGATGCCTATCTCCCGGCTCCCATAATTCAGACACAGAAGAAAACATCAAAAGGACTTTGAAAGGCTGAAGCAATCAGAAAGCAAATTGTATGCCAAGAGGGGAAATAGCAAAAAGAGCCATTCCCGGTGAGCAGGGAAACTCAGCTACACGTTGGAGTGCAGCAAAGACCTCCATCCATGACAAACAAAGGGATATGGAGCAACCCACTACTCATTCCAGAAAAATATTCAAGCAAGCATCTCCAAAAACCCTAAGGTTGTGGCTAACATGGCACCAAGCTAATGAACTCTGCTCCAGTTTCCTTGACAAAGTGGGAGAACAGGCTACCAGTGCCCGGAGGTGGGATCATCCAGCCCCACACACAAAGGGGTCAGGTACGAGCAGTAGGAACCAGCTCCAACCCTCAACATGGGTCAACCACTATAAGATGTGTTTGACACACTTAAGAAATGCACTGATCTGACATGTGGTACTGGTGTACAAAAGTGTATGCAAATCTTACAGGATTATGTCCCAGGTGCTCAGGGATCAGCACCTACAAGTCTAACTGTGTGATGAAATCTCAGCCCTAAATTTGCATTTGCGAAAGCTCTGTTTTTATCCCTTTAAACTAGAAATAGCATTAACCTTTTTTCCTTTGCCTGTTTATCTACAAAAGCACATGAAAACAATAGCCTCTGCTTTTCAAAGCATTTTTCATGATTTCTGCAGGAAAAATTTAGTAGTTACTTCCAAGAAATGGCATATTGAAGCTTTACCCTGGTCAAAGAACAGAGCAGAAGCAGCCTCCTCCTCCTCCTCTTTTGCTTTGCTGTAAACCCTTGAAATCAGAGCAACTCACCTTGCACACAGCAGCTTGCAAAATCGCATCAAAGCCACCCTCTGGAGCATCTCGGTTGCGGGAAACCTTCTGTTTCTGAACTTCTTCGTTAAAACGGTCAACTTTATCCGTCAGGGACAAGAGGTGGCGGAAGCCAAAGGATGGGACACAGCTGGGGAACAGCTTGTAACTGTGAGAGGAACAGAGGAGTGGTCAACTGGGAGGAACCACACCAGCAGCCAAGAGCCGCAGAGGCTCCCCGCTCTACCAGGTTGGTTTCTAAAATTCTTCATTTAGAGGGCTGAAATACTCTCACAATTCTTCATGTTTTGGACACTTTGATTTTTGGCTATCTATATACAAAACCCTACAGTAGAGCCCATATTTTTTTGGTTTCCCCTCAGGAGCTTTGAGAAGCTGAAGTTTCCAGAGATCCTACTAGGACTGAAAATCTCTCTCCATGTATGGTGTGAGTGGAGACACAAAGCACCAGCCCACCCTGGGTCAAGCAGCTCTGCAGTTTCAACACCTATAAAGTGGTTTTCACATTGGGAATCCGCAGTGAAGGATGCAACCCAGTGATAGGGAGGGTATGTTTTCCCAGTAGGCTATGGGGATGGCTATGGGGACTATGCCTCATGCCTGCAGAACTGGTGGGCTGGTGTCAAAGGGCACCATGCAGGAGCATCACTGCTGAGAGGTACCTTTCCCCTGTTTTGCAATATGGATTTTCACTCTGTCAGCCAGTTTTCTTGCCAGCATGTGCCACTCTACACCCACCGCACATCACCAGGCACCTGGCAATTGCCCAGCATGAGATGTAATAATGACTAACACCAGCTCATGCTTCCTCACACTCTCCCTGCAAGCCAGTGAGCAAACACCGTCCCTGCTTTCCAGGGCGTCACTGGAGCAGAAAGGTAGGAGGGGCACCCTAAGACAGAGAAATGCTGCAGCAGGCTACCAGAAAAACTTTTTTTCCCATACAAAACCATGAGAAAGCAGCTTTGCTTCTCACCACATGGCTGGGAGAGCTCAGCAGAGCAGCTCCTGTGGTATGAGAAATCAGGGAGCATGTGCAGGGGAGAGGGATGGGAAGGGTTAAGAAGAAATGTGTTTACAAAGGAGTTGGGTTGGCACTAATTCACTCTTATCTTCAAAGATAAAACCGAGAGAACAATTAAAAGCCTCTGCTGACACATGAACCTTTATAGGTAAGTTGTTAAGAGGCTTTTTACACAAAGGAGTATTTAAGATTTGCCACCACTGAGAATTCAAATCCCTCACAAGGGACCCCAGAGCAGGGATTTCCACCCACACAGCCCTGCACACACCTAACCATGGGGCACGTCCCACTGTCCTGGGCCTGGCTGCCAATTGGAGCCATTCCCTATGATCAGCCCCCATGTCCAGACTTGTATCCCACTTGCACACAGGGCCAAGGCAAAGAGTTTGCAATGTCTGAAACCTCTGCACTGCAGGGTCTCAGCAAGCTGCCCTTAGCCCATATGATACAAACCCATATGGTTTGTCAGAGCCCTGCTGCACAAAGAAAACACTGACACACTGTAGGGTCCTACCTCCCATGAAGATGTATAATTTAATTCTTTTTTGTTTGTTTCACACTCCAGGTTTGCTGGCAGAAGTTGCAAGGCAGCAGCAGGGCAGGCGCCCCATAGCTGAGCAAGGGCACACAGTGGTGTGGGCAGGTTATCTCGGGCTGTGACCTCCACAAACCATATCACAGAGAGACAGGCAATTAGGGGTTCAGTCAGGCACTCTGCCTTCCTTATCTTTTTAAATTTACTGTTTGTTTCCTTCAAACTATCATCTCTCTTGGACGACACCATGGCTGCAGGAAGCCACTTCCTGGCTTCCTGGGAGGTCCCACCCAGGATGCTGAGTCAGGAGCAGGGATGAGAGCAGGCACAAGGGATCCCAACCTGACCCTGTAGGAAAGCAGGGCTGCACCCCACCCAGGACCTGCAAGTCAGACATCACCACAAGGAAGCGGAGGAGAGAGCGTGGACCAGGGGCAAAAAGCACCCACTGCAGCTCATGATTACTTGCAGGTATTTTTAGAAGCTGAACAGTTTGTTTTGACACTAGAAATAGCTGCAAACAAAACCATACCTGACAAACCTCACTGCAATATCAGTGAGCCACATGGCAGCAGCCAGAGCCCGCTCACAGACTGGGCAGGGGAAGGAGATTCCACCACAGAGCAGGGAGCCAGCACCCCTGGTTTGGATGAAGGAGGCATATGGCAACTGGAAGGGAGCACCCACCAGATGAGCTACCTTAGGCAATCCTTCCTAAATACTTTCCCAAGAGAAGGCTGGCTTGAAGTAACCCACAGAAAGAAAAGCCATCACCTGGGCAAAGCCAAAAGTACATGCAGATATCCTGATCACAGTGGGAAAAGCTGAGCAGACAGCTCTGGATGTCCTTGATGAAAGGTCATTGGTAGTTTCAGGTATTGCTGAGCTGTCCAGTTGCATCCTCTCCTCCTTTCCCAGCCCCCTCCTCCTGCATATTTCACTCTATTTCACTTGGCAAAAGCCATGTTACTCCAATTAAATCACAAACCAGCCAAACAAAGTTTCCAAGATTTCTCCAGCTGGAGCTAAACCCTGTCCCCAGCCCGCAGGCAACATGAGTGGTGTCAGAGACTGAGAATGACGGAGGTGACTGAGAGGATCTCTCAGAAGCCACACCAAATCTCTGGGAGAAGTACTATGAAGAGGCATGGTGTGCTGTGCCACTGTGGCAGAGCCACCTTCCTGGCTCAGTCAGTGTGGTCACTTCTCACTTCATGGCTAAAGTATGAGTTTTCAGTGTTAAAATCCATTTGACTTTCCACTCTGGACAGAACTGGTGAAAAGAGAATACAGATAATTTTTGTCTGGTCAGCAGTCAATGTGCAGTGAGATGCCAAATGCTTGGTCAGTGCCAAAAGCTGGCCTAGAAACTCACAGCTGATGCAAGCTCTCTTTATCTGCCTCTCATGCTTGAAGCATGCACAGAGCTTGGCACCCATTCATGAGGTGATCTTACAACGTAAGTATCCACAAATGGCTCAAATAAAAATGCTAACCTTACTGTCTTTACATGGCTAGAAAGCACCTCACTGATGGATGAGGTGAAGATGAGGACTAGAAAGTGTAAACGGTGACATCCTCCCAGGAGGGCACTTGCTGCTGTATCCACTCTTTGATTCCAACATCCAAACCCATCTGAGCCTGGACACCCTCCATTACACCCAATTTCACTCTTGCATAATCCTCAATTCAATGGATTTGATCCCAACTCTGATGGTTAAAAGGCAACAAAAAGACTCTTGCAAAGACATTAACAAACAAAAAAAAAGGAAAAAAGGACAGAAGGCTCTCATATCACCACAAAGCAAACCACATCACTTGTGTCTTTTGTAACTGCCAGTTTACTTCCTTCCACAGCAATAAAGATGAAAAAACCTGCCTGATGCCTTCAAAACACTCTACAAGAACTCATTAATCAGCACTACAGGCCATCACAAATCTCAGTTCCTCCAAACACTTTTGTTGGGAAGGACTTACATTGCCTTGGTCTTCTTATCTGTAAAATGCAGACAAAAAGCTTATTTGATTTACTCAAGGCCAAACTATGACTCAGAGCTAGGATCAGAAATCAGGAATTTCTGGCTCCTTTTGCTTAAAGCCTGTAAAAAAGCTGCCATGTCTGCATCCTTTTCAGGTACTTAAAAATAACTTCAGGCTCTCTGATATGATAGTTTCCTATCTCTAGACACAGTTATCTCCCAACAGCCACAGCAAAACTGGAAGTTGTCCTATTTTGAATTGCTCAAGTATCACAGTGACAGCCATGGCTAATCAGCATTCCCAAAAGCTGAGGCTGAAGTGTGGTTCATTATTTAAAGCAAGAATGGAAGAGGAGACTGCAGCCAGGCTGTGTGCAAAGACAGGGCTTGTCCCTTCAGGGTACACCCACCACTTACCCAATGCAGGGATTGTTTTGGTATCTTGGTGCTGTGTAGGAGAAAGGAGAAATGTTTTTGTCCACAAAAGAGCCAAACCCCAGACGGAAATTGCTCGTGAGCTTTCGCATCTCTTCAGCCAGCTTGGTCCCCAGATTGCGGATATTATCCAGGTCATCGTTCATGGACAGGGAGAGATCCATCAGGTAGTAGAGGTCCACAGGATAGTCCTCCACTTGCCGAACCTGAACTCGGAAGGAGGTCTGGTCACCTGCACACACACAGGAGTTGAGAGTGGTGAAAAGGAAACTCCGAGCACGCATAAAATCCAGACTGCACATGCTTTTTTTTTTTCCACTGCAGAGCAGATAGATCACTTGCAAAAGAAGAGGGTGAGAGGAAGCTTTTCCAGATTCATCCTTTAGGAGACTACCAGGAAAGCAAGTATTGACGTTGGGTTCTCTTAAGCTATGTAGTGTACTGGTTGGTAAGAAAAAGACACATCTATGGAGTGCACGTCTCTATTTTAGCTCTTTGGACATATGGCAAAATGTCTTTCTATCTCATTTGCGAGAACATCTAAAGGGGGGACATGTGAAAAATGCCGTTGCCCTGGTATGTGTACAAGGGTGTTTTCCTAGAAAACTGGAAAGAAAAGCAAGCAGAGTGAACCTCAAATGGATGTTTCGTGGACTACTGAGACAGGGACCCTGCTCATGCTTACTTGGGTACATCCTCAAAGCAAACCAGGAGGAGTCTAAGAAGTCCTGTACAAAAGAGAGAATGAGTGAAGCAGGAGGAGAAAGAGAGTCAGTAGAAAACAGTCACTGTGAGATGAATGCAACATGTCCTCTGAGCTGTGCAGGGAAGAAAAGTTGATGCAGACACAGAAGAAAGACCTTTAAAGAGGACCTCCCACCCGAAAAAGAGCTGTGCCACCATGATCCTGAAGAAAGCAGGGCAAAAGGAAAGTGAACTGGAAAAAGAAGGTTGTTAGGGTGACCCAGGGAAGCACTGAAGCAGAGGGTAAAGCTTCCTGAAGTGAAGAACAGAAGGGAAGGACCTGACAGGGCTGAGTCACAGGCTGTGCAAATGTGAAGACAAGCAGAGGAAACCTGTCCCTGACCTTCCCCTTTGCCAGAGCATTTTCTCTAGGAATGCCCTCCACAAGGGGTACCAGGGGAGGCCAATGCTAGCACCACCCATGTCTCAAAAAAGGTCAAGAGGTTTCAAAATGAACTCAACTTCAAACCAGACAGGAGGCGCTAAAAGTCTGCCTTATGCTTTGCTGAGAGATGGGTCTAAATGGAAAATTCAGACTTCAGCACCTCACATCCCAGCTGGTTTGGAGATCCCATGTCCTCAACTGCCACCTCAGCCCCTTTTCCAGCTCAGTGGAGCCTCAGACCCAGGGAATCAGATACTTAAAAGCCTAAGTTCCCCCTCCTGCCCTCTCCCAGCCCTTCATGGCCAAGGCTGAACTTTGGGTACTGGCAAGTTCTGCAAAAACACTTGTGGCTTCCCCTCTTCTTCCTCCGAAATGAAACTCACATTTTTTAGCATTGTGAAAACACTTCCTTAACCACTTTATTGTTCTCCTCATTGTGCACAGCAGCACAGCTGCTCCCACTTAATTCCAGCCCAACAGCAGCAGCAGCATCCCAAAACTGCCGTGCTGGCAAGGCAGGCCATGAGGGGCTCTGCAGCCCAGCTGGCACCAGGGCCAAACACTGTCCCTGGCTCCAGAATCTGCTCTTTAGTGATCCCTGCAGCCATCTCCATGTGTTGGGAGCAAGTGGACACCCTCTCCCAGCCTCTGCAGCAGCTGCTTCAGCCCAGCTGCATCCAGCCCCTCGATGAAGGAGCCAGAATCCCAGCACCCAGGAAGATGCATTTAGAGGTTAGAGGCTGCCCCTTCTGCAAACAAAGCTGGGAAGGGTTTAGATCCCGGTCTGCTCTTTCCTCCACCAGCTCCCTGTGCATCTTCCACAGCTCTGTGCTGGGGTACCAGAGGAGTCAGCTACAGCTCCTCAACCAACACCTTTCTCTTTAACCATCTCCCTGCACTCTGCTACAACCTCACTGGGAAAAGGCAGGGCTGTGAGAGGCACCACGTGCAAACACGCATATGTAGATATTGCCCAGATACCAGCTGTAGGAAGCAGGAAGCTCATGCCATAAATACTCCTCTTTATTCTCCCCAGCTTTCTTTTCCAGTAGGAGCAGGACTTCCCTGGCTGAGATGTGGAGTGCAGCAAGATGCAGCTCAGCACTGGCCCTACAGTAAGCAGAGATATTGAGGTGGCTTAACCAAATCACAGAACCCTAGAAAGGTTTGGGTTGGAAGGGACCTTAAAGATCATCTCATTCCAACCCACTAGACCACTTTACTCAAAGCTCCTGTGACTATGACTCCATCCAACCTGGTCCTGAACACTTCAGGAATGGGGCATCCACAGCTTCTCCAGGCAACTTGTTCCAGTGCCTCACCACCCTCACAGTAAAGAATTTCTTCCTAATATCTAATCTAACCCTGCCCTCTTTCCATTTGAAGCCATTACCCCTTTTCCTATCACTACAGGCCCTTGTAAAAACCCTCTCCAGCTCTCTTGTAGGCTTTCTTTAGGTACTGGAAGGTGCTCTTAAGGTCTCCCCAGAGCCTTCTCTTCTCCAGACTGAACAACTCCAAGTCTATCAGCCTGTCTTCACAGCAGAGGTGTTCCAGGTGGGCCTGACACTGTACCTGGCATGCATTTTGTGGGGGAGCAAAGAACATAATTTATGTAGTGCAAAACCTGTTAGCACTGATTGCAGGGTAAAAAAACATGACTGCAAGCTTGACTCCAATTCAGTGCTGCAAAATATGTTTAAATCTGGAAAAATTCATTCCCATGCCTATGTTTTTCATTCCTACACATTTTTCCCACTGGAATACCCAACCCTTTCAGAAAAAGAGGATGTGCCCTTCTGCGTTTTGCAACATTTCCATTTCCAAAACACTATTCTTCCTGCCAGAGAGGATTTTTGGTATGGTCTGATCCAACCTGCCTCTCTTAAGTTACAAATTTATTAGTCCCTGAGAAGCACCAAAAACAACAGGATCCTGTGCTTAGTTCTTCTTTCATTCCTAACTGCACAAACCAATTATCTCAGAGAAACGATCACTAATGTATGAAGATGTAAGTGCAAAAGAATTTATTATTCTCTGTGCACAGTATTACTCTCACACTTCTAGGGATAATCCAGCCCCCTCCTTCCTCATGTACCGTCACCACCATCCTCTCCTTAGGGCTTTTATTGAAAAGTTTTAAAACTCAAAATTGAATTCAGAAATGTTTCTCGGATACTGTCACACACAGGCAGTGCAGAAACTGGAAAACCTGATTTTGGCCAATTTAAGAACACAAACTCAACAATCGTGCTTATCCAAGAAAAGCTCTTTTTTGTGCTTGGTGAGGCTTATGGCTTGATGAACAACACAACTTGCACCTATTACTTTTTTAATTCCTTTTACGCTATTTATATTATTCATTTAACTAGGACACACTGCTTTATAGCTGGACTCAGGATTAAAAAGCAATGTAATAAAAGCTAAATGCTCAATCCAAAAGCTACCTTGGAAGGACATCAATTTAAGGACTTTGGAGTTTAACTGCAGACACAGATTTGGGGATGTGACTTCTGCCACAGGATGATGAGATCAAACTGCTTGGGTGGGAACAGCAAACAATTGACAATCCACTCCCTTCTGCTTCTGCTTAGCAATTGAAGAATACAAGATCACCATTGCCACAGACCACCGCATGAATTCATCTTTGAAATAGTACACCCTTCATGCCTAAAATTAAATCAACATTGTCTCCTTTTTGTCTTGGGTTCATAGGGTGACATCCATTCTCTCAAGATGAAGGATTAATGGATAATTTAAACTGTGGCTGCTAATACAAGGGTTTAGGAAGTCAGCAGCCCAAAGGAGGAGTGCTGCCCAACATCAAAAATAGAGCAAAAATGGGAGATACTCTTACAAACATCTAGGTATCTACCCCCTCCTGCAGTGACTCTGATGCTCTGTAAGAGGAGCACAGGGAGGGGAGCTCGCTGGCTCAGTATGGGAATTGCTGCAGGGGTCCTTGGGGTGATTCCTGCAGTTCAGCCCCGACCTGGAGGGCTTCTCTGTCAAGAAGAACTGAAGATGGCCATGAGTGTGGTCCCCTGCAAGGGCAGGTAGAAGCAGCACACCAGCCCTCTGCAGCCCAAGGTATCTGACAGCACAGGCCCCGGGAAACCACGAGGAGATGGATCCCTACATCCTGCCGCAGATCAGAGTGGTGGGAATCAGCGCCTCGGCTGGGCAAAACTGCCAGGGATTGGGAAAGGGGAATTCGCTGAGCACCAGGCACTGAGCATGAAGAGGGGTGTACAGGAGGCGAGATGTGGAAGCTGAGTCGGCCCTTTCTGCCAGGAATTGCCTCAAGAAAGAGGAGTAATAACAACTCCCTTTTTTTAACGGAGGCAAACCTGTTTCATCAGCAACAGTGAGTGGCAGAAGCCAAGCATCTAGATGTACATACAGTGGTGACTGCTCTCAGGTACCTGCTTTTAAGGCTTTGAAGCAAAATATTTTTAGATTTGAGGGTCTGACTGATGACAGCAGTCATACTGCTGGAGAAGTTAACTGAGAGCCATAACAACCATCCAACCTGTACAGCTAAAACAGAACTGCTGCAGCAGCTGGTAGGCTCTGGGAGAGCACTGGTAGCATGAGCACTAGCTCCAGCTCCTGTTTCTCTTGGGCAAAACATCATATTTCCTTTTTCTATGTGCAAATGAGAGCTATCACAAAACTATAAGCCTTAGACACCCACACCAATCGCTTATAATGAATCAAGCTTTTATATTTGCTTCTTAACTCTGCAATAAAGAGCTTTTTTTCCCCCCCTTCAGAAATATCAGCTGCTACATTTTTGCATGAATTCTAAACCCACATTAAAGCCTCCCCCCACCAGGCAAAAACTTTTGATAACAAGCATGCTCGCATGGCTCAGATGAGCCACTCCCTTTAAATTTTTAATTAAAAGGAAGAGATTGAAGAAAAGTGATGGCTCAGGGGAATGAAACAGGGACCTGGCTACAGTCCAAGGCCTGAGTCACAAGTTCAAATCTCCATCTTCTCCCTTGATCCAATGGCTCTTTCGCATACCAACAGAAAACAGATATGTGGGTTTGTTTCCAATTTATAGAAGGAGCCGTCTCAGTTTAGAGCCATGCACTGTCAGCTTGGTCGAGGATCCGAAGTTATTTTAACTCATTCTATCCAGTGATTCCATTTTTAAGCTGAGCAGGTTCCTTTTAAACACATGCAAGGGTTAAGACTAGTATTGGCAACAGTTGTGGGTGGGCTTTGATTGACTTTGCCCAACAGCAGTGTCCTCTCACAGAGGACATGTGCCTCAGCCCCAAACCTATTTGTGATGCACCACCGAGGTTTACAAGTATCGAAGGGGCCAGCAGTCACCTGCTTTAGTGGGTTATAAGGCCATGAGCTACAGCACCCTCTCGGCATGTCCTGGTCACCCCTTCTCACTTCCCTCACCCCACATGGCAACTGGGGACTCACCAGGACGAAGATTCAAGGCGACCTTCTGAGGCATAATCTGCGTGACATCCAGGTGGGTCTGGCCAGAGCCCTTGCTGCTCAGAGGGATGTTCTTCACCACGCTGATGCTGCTGCTGGGGTTTTCGATGGCTCCGGCACAACCGTTCGCAATCAGGTTCTGCAGGAAGTCGCACCGGGATGCGATGGACTTTGTGCTGCCAAACTCCTGGGGGGTGAAGAATGGACAAAAGGGAAGTGGAGGCAAATACATCAACCCCCACAGCAGGGGCTTTGTTTTAACATGCTGGTATCTAGCAAATAGGAGATGACAAGGAGAAGCTGGTGTCCTTTGTGGTGACTGCACCTGGAAGGAGCCTGGAGCCTTTCAAATGGACCTACCAAAAAAGGAAACTCTGCAAGGATTTGAACATTGAATTTGCTCGCAGAGCATCGCAAAAGAAAGCTAAGCCTGAGTTTTCAACCCAGCCACAGCAGCAGCACTTGCTACCAGCCCTGGTTTGGGCCACATGAGAGCAAGGCAAAATGTTTGGTTTGCTGCATGGACAGCCCATTGTCATCTCTTATTTTATGCACATGCATCGCCTCAAAGGAACTTGGCAAAAGACAGAAGAGAGGACAAGGAGGTGACACCGAGGGAAGACGGACAAACCCACCAACCAAATCAGAATGTGAAGCTGGAGACTGAGGCTGGGTGGCTCCAGGGACCTGCATCCTCTTCCCCAGGAGAGACACCGCACATCCCCATGTGAGCACCACAGGTACTCCCTCCCTCACACCACCCCACTGCAGGCCTTGGCACAGACACTATCACTTGGGAAACAAAAATGACAGCAAGCAGTCCCTGAGGTGGAGCACTGATGGAGCATTTTGATGTGGGCAGGCTGTCCTGGGCAGCTTTGCTGGAGAATAAGGGAGGTGGGAGAGACTTCATGGGAGCTGGTTAAAACACAGTCTATGCCCGCCACAGGCAGTGAGGCACAGGCAGCAAGGTGCAGGCAGTGGCTCACTCCCAAAGGACAGGCTGCCAGGGCCGGGAGTCTCCCAGCACCCGTCCCAGAGCTCCAGCCCTTGCTGCGAGCCTCGTGCATAGAGCACAATGCAGCCTTGTGCAGGGCAGCACTCGGGAACAGCCAGCCACACAATGCAGCCTTTTGCAAAGAGCCCATTTGTTAGTATGCCTTTTTTTTCTTTCTCCTCTCCCCAAAAGTGCCAAAGGGAACAAGTCACATGCCTAAAACTTACTGGATTTTAAATGGTCGATTCCTACTTATTTCTGCACTACAACAATAGAGACAACCCTCTTCCACTCCAGGGCTGAGGGACTAAAATGACATGAAAGAATGTAGAGAAGATGCTCACAGCCATGCCAGCCCCTCCTTCAGCTGTGCGGCCAAAACCAGCATGGGGCTGAATAAACCTCACTTGTTGCTGAAGCTCCAGCATGGCAGAGGACAGAAGACATATCAAGGAGGGAGAGGTTTCTGACAGATTCTGGGGTAATCTCCATGAGTCCCTCAAGGACAGCCTCAGATACAGGGCCCTGGGACACAGAGGCTTCCTGCTGCATTTTTCTCACTACAAGGTCCCAACGCTATTTGAAAAATGCGAGATTTGCATTCCAGTATCCAGCACCGGGGTCCAGCCAAGAAACCGACGACGGCACATCAGATGGATACGAACACAAATTTCTTGGAACGTGTCGTGTAAACAGATGAACTTCCAAAAAGGAGGACTGGGACTATTTAAGTCATCTCCAGCATTACAGAAGAAAAATCAGAACCCCTCACAAAACTGAAAACAACGCCCATCCTTTCAGAGCAGCACGTTTCAGGCAGCCTTGGAGAAAAGTTTCTCTCGGATGTGGTTTGACCTCAAGTCAGGGAAAAGCTGGCGGGGTCCAGGTGCTCTCCTGGGCATGTCCACCCAACAATAGGGCACCTGTGGGGAGATGCTCTCTGGCTCTCCCAGTACCTGGACCCCAGCTCCAGGTGAGCACCTCTGCCAGCTGATTTCTGCTGCCACCCATTAGAAAGGACACTCTAACTGTGCAAAAAGCAACACAAACAAAAAAGATCCAGCCTCAGGGGTACAAACACCTGTGGGGATGGGGGTGCAGCTCAGCACTCAGGAGGGCAGGACTGACTCCTACTTCTGCCTGATTTCTTACCCAGGAAGCATAACTCTGAGCAGGGGAGTGACAGTGGCCTTGGGAAAGCCCCAGCCATCGCCACAGCACCCGCAAACACCCTCCTGTGCACCCATGGGTCAAAACCCAAAGCCAGAACTGGGGCTACCAGGTACTATCCAACTCAAGTGCAAAGTTTTCTGTGACAGAGATCAAGGCTCATGGAGGTTCAATGAAAGGCAAAAAAGGATCAGCAGATCTGGGGAGTAAAGGGCATTGCACAGGTCCAACTAGCTCATGAACAATCACGCTGAAAGGCAACCCCACACCAGCTGGTTCAAACCCTGAGCAGAGGACCCCTCGCAGTTAATTAAGCAATTCAAATACCTGCCAACCATCTGCCTGCATGCCTGCTTTGGCAAGAAACCCAAGAGATGCCCCACACAAGCAGGATCTACCCCAAACATTGTTTCATGCCACAGAGAAGCACTGGATTGGGAAGGTCCCACTGAGTCCTCATCAGTAACTCTGCCTGTCCCCAGCCCAGTGGGCACGTTGCAGTCCAGCCTCTGTGCTAACAAGCTCACAAAAGCCAATGCTCACAAGCAGAAACAGTGAATGGAGACAACAGCGTGACAATTACATGCTCATCAGTTTGACAGTTTTAAGACAAATTGCTTGGTTCATGCTATAAAAATGGAGAATAACACTGACTATCTAATATCTAACTCCTGACTGGGCATGTCCCTGACATTTTTTGCTTTAATCAATCCAGCTCTGCATTAATTCAGTCTGAAATATGCCTGCTTTCTCCATTAAAAAAAAGTGGACATGTTCCCTTTAGGAACACCACTGAGTTTCCTTCCTCATTCTCCAAGCGCACATTCCTGAGATGGGAGAGCATGGGGTAAAAGCACCTGCTGGAAAATAGAGGGTGCCATTGGGGAAATTTCTGTTCAATTAATCAAAAAGGACATTTTGGCTTAATTAAGATTCCAGCAAGGATGGAAAGGCTACAGCAGTCTCCATCACCCCAAGAGTCATTTTCCCTCTGAACTCTGTTTCAAGGCATGCTCAGGTGATGGTTAAGGCCAACATTCACATCTCCTCGTCTAAGCACCACTGAAATCAACACCTTCAAGTCCTGCCTTTCAAGATATTCTTCCAACAGCCAACAGAATTGATGTCTGCTTCCAAACTTCCAACAGCCCAAAGACTTGTGGTTAGCTCAGCAGCTCCTGGGGGCTCTAAGGCTGCTGCATACCAGAAGCTGCTATCATCAGCTCATCCATCACCACCTCTTTGGAGATGCTGAACACAAGTAGAAGTGAAAAGAAGTCAAATCAAGCCAGGTTGGGAGGTGCCAGTCATAAAGTGACAGCATCGTGACTACTCTGTAAGCATCTACCTACACACATGCTCTTATCCTCACAATTCAAGGCATATAAATTCAAGGAACCTTATCCTTCCTGGAAAACTATCAGGATAGGTCTCCTTGCATCCACAGGATTGCCTTCATGCACTCCTAACCCACAGCTGCAGTCTATGACTGTCTGCTGCTCTGTGCTTACATGGAGGCTGGATCCAGGAGTGCAAAGGGTGATGGAGAATGAAACACTGGGGGAGCCTGCATGAAGTGTGACTCTCTCTGGGAAACAGCACAGCTTTCCTGTTCAAATTGCTCCTCTCCCACAAACAGACAGGATGGTACTGCCAAGTAATGTTATTCCCCAAAGGAAACACAAGAAGGTATAGAGAGAGATGATGATAAATAATATATAGAATTAACCTTTGTGTGTGTATATATATATATATATATATATAGACATACTACATTTGACAGACATCTCTACACTTCCTGTACAGATAATACATACACACGTAATACGCACAATTATATACAGAATTATACTATATGTACCGATAGACTTCTACTATGTATGCTTCCTGACAACATTATTAATTGTTGCCTACCAAGTTGACAAAAGCTGGCCCAATTTGCTCCTAAACCTGTTAAGTGAAAGCAAAGGGAGCACAAAATACACACAAATCAGGCTTATTGAGGTTCTACCACAACATGACTACCATCTGTGGAATCCACTCCAATATCTTACCCCAATATTTAAACAGCAGCAGAGCTATAGAATTTGACTGGCATATACTCTCCCAGGCAACACAGATAGCAAATGACAGCTGAGGAAAACAGATTACGAGCTATTTAACAAATTTAATAACCTGACTGGGCTGCAACAGAGGGGAGGGGAATAAGGTGGTGAAATGACTATGAAAAGAAAGCGGATATTAGAGAGTTTATAATATTACTTTAAAACTTTTGAAGTCGAAAAACTCTAGGTGTCTTTCAAAATCCCATTACCTCACCTGATGATCTCAGCTAAAGAGAAATAATTAGGGTTTCAAACAGCACATTCTAAAAAAAATAAAAATACAGAATTAGAAAAGAACTTGCTAAGTTTTAGCATGTAGCATGTAACGGGGACAGCAGCTTTTAAACATGTAGCTCTTGGCATGAAACACCTTGAACTGTGCTTTTAAATAGCTGCTGCAGGCTAAAGGTCAGAAAGTATTACAGCACTTCCCCGTAAACACCCATTTTCCTTCCTGGCCTCTCCATTCCAGTTTGGAACACTTTTTTTTGGTAACTATTCTGTTTGCAAGATAAGAGTCAGGCTGCCAGTCCCATGGGCTGCTGTACAATTAGTGGTCACAGCGACCACCAGACAAACATTTCCACTGCAGCATTTTGCAAAAAAATTGTCTTTTGAGGAGGCCAAGAAGTAAAAGAAAAACAAAAAAACCCAACAAAAAAGCACAAGCTATTGGGTACCCATAGTTTAATAGCCAGCGTTCCTGGATCCAATCTCACCACCACAGATTAGCTGGCTCGAAGAGGAGCTCTTACAGCTGTTTACAAGATGTCTCAGAAGAGAGATCTATTGCTTTACCCTTTCCCTTCTGCACACCATTTGCCTTTCTGGAAAAAACAACCCATGAAGGCTATTACACTGTCCGGCAGCATGGTGTTTGTAGGGTTACAAGTTTTTCCCTGGAAAGCTGCAACTGTGCTTACAAGTAAGTGAAAAATGCAGTAAAATAGACCTGGAGAGCCAGCGCATGGGGTACATCCCAAGACCCAGCCAAACCATGGGGAGTGGGAGCCACTTCTGCTCCATGTTCATACCCATCCCCAAACCCATCCTCTGCCCTGAGGAGCTGCAGCTGCCCCAGGCAGGCCTGGCAGGAGGAGGGATGGAAGCAGCAGAGGGGCACATGGACAGTGCCTGCATTCTCAACTCAGCATCACCATCTATAGCTGGAAGGTGAAGTGAGTGCTCAAAATGGGACCAGGACAGCCACACTACAGGAGTAAGGGTCAGCAGGGAACAGAACAGCAGCATTCCTGGCCATGCCCACTGAGAGGTTCAAAATTATCCACTGCCCTGCAGTTTCTCAAAGCCCAAACCCAGTTCCTGGCACAGCAGCTGTGCCTGCAAGTAGGCAGGATTTTTCCATGCATCTTTAAGCACCCATCTTTCTCTCTTAAACACTTAGGACAGGCAATAAGCAGACAATTGCTATCTATGCATCAGGTGTTACCAGGTCTTTCATGCACCTTGTTCTCTAGAAATTGTAAGTCTACATGATAAAACGTATATTGGATTATATCTATCTATCTATCTATCTATATCTAAACTGATGAGCATCTCCTAGGGAGCAGGGAAAGATACTTGCAATTTCTCACAAACAAGGAAGTGCAATTAAATTACAGGTGAGCAGCTTCAGCATCATTACAAGGATGTATTTTCACTCTGAAGTGCTCAGTTAAGCTGTGCAACTCATCGCCACGGCTTGGAATGGATGCCAGAAGCACGGGTCGCCCCCACAAAATGACACAATAGATTCAGAAAGGAGAATTATCTTTCTTACAGATAAAGAGCCCATGCCATGCCAAGCCACACGACAAAGGACACGTAGCAAGACACCAGCCAGGGGCTTGGGGCTTTTTAGGGAGAGAGCTTTTGAACAAGCCTCCCTCCAAGACAGAGCCCATGCAGGGATCCAGCATCCACCAAAAACAAGAAGGTAATTGAAGGGACAGAAGGACTGAAGGAACAGTGCTGCTCTGTTGAGGATGTGTGGGGGCCAGTGGGGTCAAAGACTTACTTCCTATGATGTCAAAAAGCTGAGGAGTTGCAACACCCAAAATATGCTCTGCATGGAGCACCCACTGCCCTCACTCACCCCTTCCAGCATGGGACCGACTCAGGAACAGGAAGGGGAGAAAAGCTCTTCCTTTCATCATTACTAAAAGCATGCAAGACAAACAAGGTCTGCCCACATACCTCCTTGGAGCACCAGGCACACTTGGGATGGATGAGGAGACACTCTTCGCAGGATGTGGCACTTCCACTGGTGCATAGATTGAGACCTTCAACAAGAGAGAACAAGAGAGCAGGGTGGGCTGAGAGGTTACTCTACTCCAGAACAGTGTTCAGGGGGGGGCTGAGACATTCTTAATGCTAAACATACTGTAAGTTTAAACAAGAGCAAAGAATCTCCCCAGAGCTAAAAAAGGCAGAAGAAGCTGTAAATCTCACTCCACCTGCGAGGAGGTCTTGTTTTCTTTTCCTTCCCCAAGATAAGCAAAAAGGACAGAAATTTGTTTTGGGGTGCTGAGAACCTCTGAAATATGACAACTTCGTGACTTTTCTTCCCTCTTTTCAATGGTTTCTGTTTAATCAAAGAGTTCAGCTATTCATCTTCCTAATTAAATACTTTTTGCAGACAGAAGGCAATAGCTGTTTGACCAGCCTCAAACAGCCCAGAGCTGGGCTGTCTGAAACCCCCTGAGATGCTAACTTTTAAGGTCATATCTTTAGGCACATCTTCTGAATTTTTCCAGCTGAATATATTTAAATTTTCATATTAAAGCAGTCTTGGAAGATGCTCATCTCCCTCTTCCACACAGGTGATTTCCACAGTGGACTCATGTTACAGTAAATTAATTCTATTTTATTTCAAGAGTCATTTCCACAGGATATCCAGGTTAAGCCTATCAGTGTGTTTGCACTGGGACATGTCCAAGGCTGGCAGGGATGGAAGACACTAAGGGCTCTCTCTGCCCATGAGGCCACCAGGACCATCAACCAGGGCACCAGTGATGCTCTTTCTCCTGTATTGCTGATGTCCGGCAGCACAAGGCGTACCAAGTGAGTTTCACTTGCAAAATCCACAATTTGGGCTTTGGTCTTCAAAAATAAAGTAGAACCACACAAGTTAAACTGAAGCAGACACCAGTGGTGTTGGCTTTGAATGCAGCAGCTTGTTTAAGCATGCCTGTGGCTATGAATGTGCCCTTCGATACCACCGATGCCCCAGCTCCCCCGGGTGCAGCTATTAACTTCCACTGTCAATAACTGATTAAAGAAATTGTCAGCCCAGGATTCAGTACAGAGGCTGCATACTCCAAATGAAATGCCTCAGGCTTGAACTCCCAGTCTGCTATTTTTTCCAACCCAAATGTCAATAAAAGCATTGTCAGGCCTCTGCTTCCAGCCAGTTGCATCTGCAAATACCAGCGCACCATGCTGCTACTGGGTATAATCTGTGCAGGTTCCGCAGACTTGCCAACAGCTGCTGAAGAGCCACACAGAGTTTTCTCCTGTCCCAAGAACTTTCTGCCACAAGAGCCTTGGAAGAAGGATTTTTGCTGTATCCCATGTGAATATTGCACCAAAAAATGAAATGCAGTGGCCACCTGGGCCACTCCCATACAGGGCCAGGCTGTGAGCGCAGGAAGCAGTGAATCAAACAGGACAGCTGGAGGAAAACCTAGCATGCCCTGGGCTGAAAGCAAAAAGAGGATAAGTAGATCCTGTCAGTCATACTCAGTCATCACCGAGGCGTGACCGTGTCAGAGCCCTGCACTGACGGGCCTCTGCTGCCCACAGGGTGGTTAATTCTAACCCGGGAGCGCCAAGCCCTGGATTTTCTCTATGGCTCTCATTCAGACAGGCTCCTTGGGCTCATTCATACCAAACAAGAGCCTTCTTAAGGATGTTGTTTTTTTTTCTGGCTGTTACCACATACCCAGGCATTTCATTCCTTGTTCATGTTCAGAAATTATATTCCAGCTCCTGGACATTGCAAGAGCTCAAAAGATGAATAGGTAATATAAAGTAAAATGTAACTTGTTCAACTGAGTTATAATTTAAACAGCCATTAACACTTGCATTTCCAAACCCCACAACATAGTCCAAAGCCTCTCCTCAAGAGCTGCTGCTTTGCCAATGGTACATGGGGTAACATAGCAAAAATAATGTGCTTTATATAGCAAACACTTGCGTTTGTACTCTGGCTACCCTGCCCTGGCTCTCCCACAGCCCCACTCGCCCATCTGCATGGAAATAGGATAATATTTATCTCCATTTCTGACTGCTGGACTTTTGAGAGTTTACTTAGTAACAGCTGAATGAAAACCAGGTCCTCCTCCTTCCACCGGGTGCCATGACCAAAGCAGCCCACGCTCCTGTGGCCAAGCCATGGGGTGACATTCCTCCCAGTGGCAGCTTTTGAAGTTTCAAGTATGCTTTTCTTTCCACTCTGCACCAGCACTAAACCATTTCCAGCATTGTTGTGAAAACAAGAGCTTTGTGAAGCCCTCCAATTTTAGACTGAAACCTGAGCTTTTTGAGTTGGAGTAGAAACACGCAGGATTTTCCAGATGCAAGTCTTTGCTGTGCTTGATTCAGCGCAGTCTTTCCGGAATCGGGCAAAGGAAGGATCTGATGATGCTCATGCTAGTCCAGATCCTTGCAGATGCTGGGGCAAGTCACTCAGTAAGACTGGAAGAAACTCAGTCTGCTCCTTGACTATGATACATTTAATTAAAAGACTCCTGAAAATCAAGTAAACTTCTTATAACGGGGAAAATTCCATCCAGGATTTAGCTGGGATTACTCCGGAGGAAAATAATCCACCCCCTGGATCACTGAGCTGCATAGCCCACATACAGTCCTTTACACTGATGCCACTGAGTACTAAGCCCTGCACCCTGTTTATTTTGCAGAGCAGTGTCCAGCAGGCACTGGAACGTCTCCAAATGACATCCTTCCCTTGGGTTGAGCTGCAGGAGAGTCCAAAAAAGCAGAGGAAGACAAGTGTATCTCACTAGACAGCAGAGATTTTAATACATCAAACCAGAGATGCAAAGTGAGATAGGAACTCTCATGAAAGGTACTCAACAAATTTACTCATAACGATGCTCCAGGCAATCAGACCTCATTTTAAACCTGTTCTGCAAGAAATCCTAGTTTGGGCAACTCCTCAGAGATGAATGTACTGGCCTGCTTGGGAAAGGAAAAAAAAAGTGATGTACATTATTAGAGATCTGTGAAAAAAAAGATCATTTTATTTATGCTCCAATGAGCATTCTAACAGACTCGTCCCCGCGATGGTCTGCTGCAATACTGAACCATCAATTTCACAGATCAGACACACAGAATAAATAAATAAATAAAGCAAAGAAAACCTCTTCTGAGCTTTTGCGGTCGAGCACCACAGCACTGTGGAAGATGTGCCTCTTCTTAAGATCACTCATTAAAACATTAAGCAAGGAGAGTAAGTACCAGACTGGTGGACTCTGGGCATTTTGTGGGCTCCCTTCATATAAAAAAGTTTCCCCAAGTGCTCAGAGAGGAGCGAAACCCCATTTTCAGTACTACTGGAGTGGAGTCACCAACTGCACTGCGACTTGTGTGTGTGTGTGTGTGTGTGTGTGTGTGTGAAACCGTCAGAGCATCCCCATGGGAGATGAGGACCACTCTCTGGGTGTCACGCAGACTTGGGTGGACGACTCAAAGTGCGAGTGAGGGACGGCACGAGGCACGAGCGTGGAGATCGGTCACCGGCAGGGCGAAAGTTTCCGTGTGGCTTTCTGCTGCCGCTCCTCATCCCATCGATTAACACACAACGCTCAGACAAACATCACGGGGCAGCGCTTGTCCCTGAACAGCAGTGGCTACAGTTGCTTCCATTAAGAATATATAGCGAGCGATGTGTATATATAGCTGTTCTGCGGTTTTTAAGGCGAAGGTGTAACACCCCGCGAATGCAGTCCGTGCCCCGCTGCGCTGCCGGAGCGCGGGTCCCCACCGCTCGCAACCGGGACCATAGCGGGAAGGGGGCAAGGGTGCAGCGCAGTGCTGGGGGCCGGCGGGGATGAGCGGGAGCCGCAGCAGGGATGAGCGGAGAGCCCCGGCCCCGGGCAGGGGGGCAGCGCGGACCCGCGTCCCGCCGGCAGCGCGGAGCGGGCACTCGGCAAAGCGGGGCGGCGGAGGGGCAGGCAGCCAGGAACGGGGGCGAGAGGAGAAGAGGACACAAACGGTAACGGAGAGCACCGAGGCGGGTTTGGGGGACAACCCGCCTTCCGGAGCGGCGTTCGCGGGGCCCGGGGCGGCGGGAGCGGAGCGGCCCTTACCTCTGCAGGGCTGCAGCGGGGCGGCCAGGAGGAGGAGGCGGAGGAGGAGGAGCGGGGGGGGCCGGCGGGCGGCGGCGGGGGCCGGCAGCCCCCCTCGGCGGGGCATGGTGCGGCGGCCGGGGCGGCCGGGCAGCCCTTCCCGGCCGGGCCCTCCCCGCCGCCTTTTGTGCGGCCGCGGCGGCGGCGGCGGGAGGAGGAGGCGGGGGCGGCGCCGCGGAGCTGCCCGGGGGCGGCGGGACGGGATGGGGAGGGTGTGCGTGTCCGCGTGTCCGTGTGTCCGTGCGCCTGTGCGTGTGTCTGCCCCGCTCCCGAGGGCGCGCTGCCGGCTCCCCGCCCCGCGCAGGGAGGCGTAGCCCAGTCCGTGCGGACGCGGAGCGGGACCCGCGGGCACGGCCGGGCCCAGTCACACGGGTGGGTTTGTGTGCGCAGGGGCACACACAGGATCACACGGGCACGGACAGGCTGCCTCTGCACGCCCGCCCGCCCGCGTTCATACACAGCCCTCGCATGCGGACGTGAGTGCCCGCATGTGAGTGCCCGCATGTGAGTGCCCGCATCACGCGAGTACAATGCGTGCGCAGAGCATCCCCGCACCCGCACACACGCACCTGCATGAGGACACACGCGGGCACGTACCCGCACACACATATATGTGCACACACACGCGTATATCCTTCACAGACACACTCACAGATCCACAGGCAGCCGGGCAGGTACCTACAGTCAGACACGCCCGGTGCACAGACACACGCACAGACACACCCACGTATGTACCCACAGGCACACGAAGAATGCGCGCCCTCCTCTCCCGCTCGCAGCAGGGCTTGCGCTCATTCCCCACGGGTCAGTGCCTGCTCTTACGTGGCGTTTTCCTGCTTCAGGGATTTTCTCTGTGCAAACAGACTGTGTCCATCTGCTGAAAGGCTCTCTGAGCCAGGGCACCCAGGCAGCGCTGCACTGCCTGACGGCTTCTGGCACTATTCGTGCACCCACCGCTTGGGCCATCAACACTTCAGATCTAAAGGAAACATACGATTTATTATTGTGTTTGAGTTGCTGGAGGGCTTTCTGTTTTCTTCTGTTTTTAAAATAAATCATAAACCAACCACAGAGCTGAGCATTGATTTTAAAAGCAATTTGTAGTAATAGGTAACTTACCTATGACCTGCAGCCCTTCATACCACTTTAGCATAATGTCTAATAGATCTTACCATCAGATTTTGCTTAAAACACATATGCTGTGTTGCTGTTCTCAGACAGAAGTGATTAGCTGTTAATGCCACCTGCCAAAATTTCCCTTTATGTGCACTGATTTCCAATGCTGCTTTCACAAACCTCACTGATTTCTTTAGCCTCTCCAAAGCACTGGGAGAATGCAGGTTTGCAGTTAAAGTGACTATTTGTTGTTATAGGAAATACACACCTACAAAAGTTGTAGCATTTTAACTGTCCCAGTGCTGGTAAATCAGAGTAACTCCTGCTGGGCTGTCGGAGCATCGCAACTATACTGCTTGCAACCAGTGCAAAAATATCACTAAATGCCTCACTGCCATGGTAGGAATGTGGTGTGTGGGCCAGGCAGTGACCTACAGGCTGCCCTCAAGCTTTGTCTGTGTGTGGGGAAAGGGACAGCATCATCTCTCCCTGTTATCCCAAGAACACAATAAGGTGCATGCTGTCACTCTTTATTAATAATAAAATTAGTATTGACCATGTTGAGTCTGACCTGGAAATGCAAGACATTTAAAGCAGGTTGTTCCTCTGTGGTATGTTTTTAATATTCCTGTGAAAAGAAAGAAAATTAAATGCATAGCCTGCACTTGCAAGACATAAAGTACCTGATATGAGCTGTACTGCCCCAAGAAGCCTCATGTAGACCTAGAAGTCCCTTCTCAGATCTTCTGGCCATGCCCAAGTCCCCCGAGACATGACTACATCTACTGACATCCATGGATAGGCTCATTTGTGAGAGCTTTAGTCACCTTGGTAGTAGGAGCAGGGAGACCCTCATCCCTTGGCTCTGTGCTGACCAGGGACTGCTGGGTGGGGGAGCAGATTCACAGGGGCAAGTGGTGAATGAGCAAGAGGGAAAAAGGAAAAGCAGGATCACGGGAGAAATAAACTATTTGGAGGGAAGGAAACCACCTTCTGAGACTCAACTGTGGCATCTCAAGGAGCAGAGAAGAAGGTTTGCGGAAGAAGGCATTGCTTTCAGAAGGAATGTGTTGCAGTGGGACTGGAGCCAGGCAAAGCGTAGGAGCTCACCAGTCACTGGTTATATTTAGCTGGGCTCAGTCGAGGTCGAGTGCCTGCTCTTGCTCTCTGCAGGCGCCTGGGGCATTGCTACAAGCACCCGGTGCCTGCTGTGCCCAGGCTGACCTCATCCCACAGACCCTGTGAGAAACCCCCACGAAAAGGGAGAAGGTCAGGAGCTGGTACTACGCATCTTTTCAGCTGTAAACTGTTGTCAGTGCTCAGCATCTGCTATTTGTCAGGTACTCCTATCATCGTATTTTTCAAGCCAAACCCCTATGAAGGTCCCACAGAGTCACGGGACACATAGCTCATCCCATTAGACCACTGTTGACCAACAGACTACAGTTCAGGCCCGGGGCTCTCCAGGGAAAGGCCCCTGGAGCTGCAGGGAAGGAAGTGCTGTGGCTTCCCCAATGAGAACAGTGTTAATACCCTTCTCCAAAACCAGTGCTATGCTCTTGCCCCACATGCAGCAGCAAAAGGGGATGTAGTTGCACTAATGACCAAGTAAGCAGCTGTGACACCAAGAGGGGGAATTTGCGATGGCTGAACATGAGAAGGCACCCATCACGGGGTGGGCACCTGGGCACCAAGATTTTGGGATGAGAACCAAAAGAAGGGCTCTGTCTCCTGGGGATCATGAAAGGATGACCTGCAATAAAGTTACCCTTGACCTCCAGGAACAGCTGTCACCACTGCCTACGTCTTTTCTCTCTCGACCATCATGTCTCCTGTTTACAAAATGCCATTACTGAGCATCACATAGCCCATAGGACTGAGATCCCTCAAGCTCCTTGAAGTATTTAAGTGCCACAGATGCCCTGGGACTTGAGTTTTCAGTATCATTGCACAGTTCTGCTGGAATACAGAAAGGAAAATCCCGGTCTGGAAAGGCCTGATCTTTGTGCTCACTTTCTTATCATTTGCATTTTAAAGCTATGGTCAAAGTAGGACATAAACCCACTGTATCTGACCTGGGCATGCATTTGCAAGTGATGCAATTGTAAATTGGTTCTTTGGCTCATTTATTATTTATTTATCATTTAACTGATATTATTATCAATTAAAACAAATAAAATCCTTTATCGGAGATACTTCAGATGTATTAAAGATAGGTTTTCATTGTCATATCTTCCTTGTGGCAGGAAGGGTGGATAAAAGCATCTGAGTCATGTCTAGATGTCTGCAATGGCACTGAAGAGGTTCTAGATTTTTAATGATGACTCTTTTTTCTGATCCAGTCTGAGCAAAATGCCAGTCCCAGGTCACTGTCCAAGGCAACTGCGTGTTTCAGGATGAAGCTCCACCTCTGCCTTAATGTTTCACGAAATATTGCCACCATCCTGCAGTAAGATCCTCTGACTTTCTCCCATTTCTAGACTGTGGTATAAGTTAAGGTTTGCTACTTAGCTAGCAGCTCCAACTGGAAGAGATATCTTCCAGCTGGATGTAACTCATTATAGCCACATTATTTGGTATAATATTCGACTACTGTAATATCAACTACCATATTTGCATTAAATTCAGAAACCATAGGATCCCAGGCATGCTCTCTAGTGTGCCAGAAGGACCAGCTAAGACAGCTAAGATTACCCATTTCATGAAGTCACAGTGAAGACAGGGATGGCTGGAGGGGGAATTTGGGTGCAGCCTGGCCTCAGGCACCACTGGTGCACAACTGGTCCTGAACATCCCTCAGTCCTTTGCTCCAGGCAGCTCTCTATAAAATAAAAGATGGCCAAACTGGAACCCAGATGGTGAACAAGCTGGACTGATTTATGGTTTTAATAAAAAGGATTTTGGGGGGAGCTAGGGTCAGGCTAGGATGTAGAATCAGAGCTATGAAATAAAAGGCAAACTCATTTGAACCTTGGAAACCTCCACCATGTTACAAACAGTTCTTGTATTAGGAAAACACTTTCTTTTCCTTTCCAGGTCCTCACCATGCTGCTGGCTGGGTCCTCCTGGCTGTGCCGTGCTGGGAAATGGCAGCACAGAAGCACAGGCTGTGGGCACCCTGCAGCTTTGCTGTCCCCACACTGCCCCCCTCCCAGTCAGGCCACAGACCTGGTTGATGGGGTTTTCATCACCATGGAAAAAGTTTGTGTCCTGCTTTTTCCAAGGAAACTATAAAAAAAAATACAATTCACACAAAATTCTTGTCAGTAATAGGCAACTACCACATGCCAAAAATTACAGTCATGAATTCAATCCTATTTCTATTCTCTGGTTAAAGATGCAGCTGATGTTGCTTCTGCTTGCTATAAAAATAGATATAAAAGTATCTATTTTTATTAAAAAAAGTATCTATTTTATATAAAAGTATCTATTTTTACCATCTAAGAACCAACCTCTGTTCTCAGATACTCAAGAGGTACTACTCCTGACCTGCTGAAAAGCAGCATTGCAACATTGCTGGGAAGCAGAGAGCAACACTTAAAATTCTCTTGCCAAGTTTTGACCCTCTCCTACACGAAAAAAGGCAAAGTTCAGCATAAATCTCTGAGCAAGTCTATACCTGAAGCTGCTGGGCTGGAAAGTGAGGGAGGTACGTGGGGGAGATTTTCCTCATGCCTCTAAGGTGCAAAAACTTGAGTCTTTCAGACAAAGATGATGAAGCCAGACCAAATATGGCAAGTTTTGGTGTTCCTACAGCCCCTAGAGCAGGCTGGGGGGCACTTGGCTGCGCGACCAGCTATTTCAGGAGGGGCTCACTGATGTGCTGAACTGAAATGGGTGATGGATATCTCCAGCCATGAGCCACCCCAAAAAATATGCCCATATCCCCCAGAGTTAAGGACTGTGCCATCAGAGGGACAGGCGTGGGGATGCACAAGGCTGTGACACAGGAGAGGGTTAAAAATTATTAGCTCCATGGAAACCTGCCTGTGGTATCTGTTAATGGTTAGCTCCAATTAAAA